AATGGCCCATCCACATGAGCACGTTGCGACGCGATGCGACGGTAGGTAAAGCCTCACTGAAGTGATGATCAAAACTTGACTATTAGAGAGTCAAACAGGGCACCTACTGGGATCAAGGTGACCAACGAGAGAGAGGTGAAAGGAATCCTTGCGGACCAAGTGTTAAGGAGGAAGAACTGTATGCCAAGAGTAGTTTTCCTTGTCAAATGGAAGGGCTTGCCAAACCACGACCAAGTTGGGAGCCTGAAGAGGAGCTGTGGCAATACCACAAGGCAATTGAGGTTTATAAGGGAGCTACCGAGGAAGGAACTCGGAGTAGTGGGGGAGGATGTCACCAAGGTGGAATGAGCAATGGTTGGAAACCACCTAGAGACTAGCATGGGCAGCTAGACCAAGCCTGCCCTTAGGAACCACCCAGGACACATCTTAGCAAAATTGAGGCATGCTACATTCTGACAATACATTGTACAGATTGACAGGTGATGTGGTAGAGACTTGGTAACGTGGTAGATGGGCTGATGACGTGGCAACTAACAGCTAGGATGCCAACTCAGAGGACACATGGTTGGTAGACGTTGGAGTGTGGCAGTGTCGCTAGGCACGTTGCACTATGCGATGCGGCATCGCGCGCCTAGGCCAGTTGTACAAATTCTTAAATACAGAAGTGCCCTTCCCCAACCACTATCAATAGGGGTGCTCCCCTTCCATTGTACCCATCCAAGGCTCAAGCAATACAAACTCTCTCATTATTTCTCTCTCTAAATTGTCTCTCTTTCTCTCTCTTATTCTCCTTGTGTTTGAGTTGTGAGTCTAAGAGTGTGGTGAAAAGAAGTTGTCTTAGGGAAGGGAATCAACTGGGTATTGAGTGAGAGTAAGTTTGGAGAGTGGGTCATAAGGTTGGACTAGAAGTCTTACACTTTCTAGTGTTCAAAGACTTGCTAGTGTGCTGCATGTGGGTTTAGTTGGTTTTGGCACTTAAGTGGCTTAAGACCTCTGACCGGCGTGGCACAAGCAACAGGTTCTAACTTACTCCATTCCTGAAGTTGAAGGAGAACAAACAAACATAACCAAAGACTTAAAGGCAAGAATAATTTGAAGAGCCAAACAAAAGCTCACAAGTAGACTGATTATCTGTAACATTTTTTGATCATCTTTCCTTTTTAGATTCAGCATTTATATGGTTAACATTTATGAGATGAAGCTTGTAATATGGTGCAGTTTTGGTTGTTCTATTCAATCCTATAGACAATTATTTTGGGGTAAATTATGCTGATCCCTAAGGTTTATCAAAATGATAGAGACCCCTTGGGTTTGAGAAATAATGGAGAACTCTCTTGTCCAAACCAAACAGCCATTTATTCATATAGCAGAAACTAACAAGACACAGCATGTTTCTGAAATTTTGTAAATTATCCTTGATCATCAAAATTACTTTAATTTAAAAGCAAGTATATCTTAATTTATTTTATATATATATATATATATATAAGCCTAATCCCTAAATCTCCCTTTACCTTGCACTATGTGTCTTTTCTTTTCATTTTCTCAAGCAAGCATGTCCTAATTCCTAAATCTATCAAGATTAGCAAATCTAGGCACAAGGGCGCAGTCACTTTACAAGGGGAAGGTTGGGGATGGTTTGATGTGTATGTGTTTGCTCATGACTGTTGACAGTCTATGTGGCATTGACAAAGTGGCCCACTGGGGGGGGGGGTGTCTCCTCTATGTGTGTCTTCTTGTGTGCTGGCGATCAGAGATGGGGGGATGTGGTTGGGTTTGCCAGATCATGCAGTGATGGCTTAGGGTAGTATGATTTTGTTATGGATGGCGTGGATCACAAAATAAGGAAGTCAATGGCGCCAAAAATGGGAAGGAAGACAAATAATATTTTTATTCTTAATGAGAAGAGTTTATTTTAGTAAGTATTTTTATTACAATTAAGTCCTTAATTTTAGTTTTCCTCTTTTGGCAAAAATAATTTCCTTTGTGATCTCTATATAAGAGAGCAATTGGAAGAGAATAAAGCAAGCAGAATTTTATTCAAAATTATAGAGGTTTAAGGCTCTCTCTAACGAGTCCAAGGTTAGGAGCTCCTTCAACGAGTTCTATATATATATATATATATATATATATATAATCATTTGTTTTTCACGAGGCAAGAATCGTAACAAGGGAAAGACTGCATCCATTGAAACAGATTTCCCTGTGCATCGCCTTGTGACTCGATCCGTGATGTGGGAACATAACAAATTCCATTTTTGCTTTTTTGTATGCTAGCTTGTGCTACAGTGGTGATTATTTGTGGTAGGTTTGGCTAATGCTTTACTGATGATGGTTCTAGGGAAGGGGAATGGCGGTTGGATTATTTTCTTGCTTTGCCCATGACCCTGTTTATTTCTTTGTTATAACCTCCCTTTCTCTGTCTCTGTCTGTTTGTCTAAATGTGGTGGTGGTTGGCTTGTGGTGGCACCCAAGGTTGTTGGTGTGGTTCTTGGCCCTTTTTTTTAGGGGGGGGAGGTGGGGGGCCGTCAGGAGAAAGGGTGGCTGGAGGTGGAGAACAATAGATGAATCAGATTTGGAACAAGGGGGTTTACATTTTATTTCTAAAACAGAATCTTAACATTAGCCAAGCAGTCTTTTCTCAAGCTCAACTTAATGTGTCCTTGCACAAACTTTGACAGGCGATCCCCATCATTTAATTAAATCTTATTTTAGGTTAGTGTAACTTACCCTTTTTCTATATGTGTCGAAACCTGTCATAGTTCATTTCATTTTTGTTTTCTGTCACTATTTGGATATCCTTTTAGCTTTTACTGCTTAATGTTCCAACTTGGTAATGGAACAATAGAATTGTATTTACCAAAATTATACTTTTTACACCCAGAGGGCACACTTGCTGACAGTTGAACTAGTCTTTCTTTTCTTTTCTTTTCCATAGAATTGAATTTTTGGGCATCTTCTGGACTAAATGTTGATGGTCTATCTTCATTAGATTTACCGCATCAGTGTCTTATTAATTTATTGCAAAGTTATTCCTCTCCTGTTTTTTTCGTTCTCTTTATATCCAATGAATCAACAAGTTGGTATTTATAAATGTTTTTGATTTGCTCAATTTGCCTTCTCCTACATAGGACAATATAGTTGACAGATGTTTGCCTCTCCTGTTATTTATATATCCAGTTTCTTTGCCATCCTATTCATCTGACTTCAGCTTTTTTGAGGCTTATCCTGCTGGCCCACCTTGTGGTTAACTTAGTTTGAAATTTCTCTTAATTCTTTTTTCTTTTCTTGCTTTAACATATCATGTGAACACAAGGACAGATAGGTTATCATGCTACTTTTGCAGTTGTTTCCTTAACAGTGAGTGGATGATTTGTAGACCAATCTAAATTGACAGATGTGATACTGTAACTGAGTTTGTGCTTCTTATCCATGCTGGCTTCTGTAATTTCACATTCTGACTGAGATCTTATACCTTATCTAGAGCTGCAGCTCTGTTATTTATCACTGCTTGTGGAAATTCACTTGCAAGTGGTTCTATCATTTTTTTTTTTTTTAAGTAACTCTTTCCAATCAGATAGATAAATCATTTCATACCTGTGTTGCTTTTATTTTTATTTTTATTTTACACCATTCTTTGTAATTTAATTATGTCCTCTTGTTCCTTCTTAATGTAAATGCTTGTCTAGTTTTATTCAGGGCAGCAAATTTTTAGAAACACTTTTCAAAATTTTATTCTGCTGGCAAATATGGATGCTGTAAAGGAATTACTATGAAAAGGTTTTAGTCTTCTTAGAGATTCTGGCCAGGCATGTGATGTTTCCTTGTGTTTAGCTAATATTTTGACTTCTATACAGTGCTTTGCAGTTCCTGAAACCTTGAAATGCCTACATTACAAGTTCATATGGTTATTGTTTGAATGCTATTTAAAGTCTTCTTCTCAATTAGCAATATCTCAGTTTTTTTTACCTTTGTTTTTTTTTTTTTTTTTTTTGAAAAAAAACTTAGTCCAAACTATTTAGAATTTCAGTCTTAGCACTGATTTATCCTATTTTGTCCTTTTGACACAAACATCTAGTCCCCTTTTTTGTGCTGTCGTCGTCCTCATCTGGAAAATTATTTTGACAAACACTACCAGTCTTGATCATCTCCAAGGCTGACAATGATCTCATATCTTATCAAAGCCAGTTTCTATTTGTTAATTTCTCCATCATAATTATGTTTTTACCATTTGCTAGAACCATTTACCCTTGATTTTATGCAGTTTCTGAACTTGTGACATGTTTTCTGTGCGCTCCATGCAAATTGGATGAGTACACTTCATTATTGCTTTAATGTTATCCAATTCCTGATGTGCTAATATTCTGATTATGCAGATGAGAAAGGGAAGTTTGATGAGTTGGTTGAGGACAAGGGTGTGAAGATATTAATTGATCCAAAGGCTCTAATGCATGTCATAGGAACCAAGATGGATTTTGTTGATGACAAACTCAGGTACAGGCAATTTCATTTACTTTTATCTTCATGAATCTAGTTTGTATCTAAGAGTGCTGTTGTGTGATAGAACCTCCTTACTGATATGTTTAATTTTGTCTTATCACTATGGTGGCTGATAGCATCTTGATTTCTTTAGCTTTGCATGATCTAACAATTTACAGAAAATAATTCAGAGCTATATTTTAATTAAAGGTATATTTTTTCCTGTTTTGTTAAAATTGAATACTAGGACTTTCTAATATTTCCTTTAAATTCTAAAGATGGGAAAGATTTAACTTCTCTATGGTTTATAAAAGGGTCATTTGTCTCGTGCTTCTTTTCACCATCTGATACGTCTTTATTTGGTTTCTGAGCAGATCTGAATTCATATTTATCAATCCAAATTCTAAAGGGCAATGTGGCTGTGGGGAATCTTTTATGACAACTAGTAGTGCAGAAGCTGCAAAGCATGATGGTAATTCACGGTGATAATTATCAATAATATTGCAATTTAACTGATATAAATGTTCACAGAAGCAGTATACATATGGCATGCAATTCAGATCACACAAGTCTTACATGTTGTGACGCAAGTTTCAGTGTCTGGAAATGACACCACTTGTCCTTTTGACATTTGTTTAGGCTGTGATTACTCATGTAACATTGTGTTTACTATTTGTCTCTAATGATGTGTGTGTGTGTGTGTGTGTGTGTTCTTTTTTTTTAACATCCAAGTCGATTCTGGGAAAAACAATGGACTTACTCCCTGTTGTACATGAGAGATAGAATTTGAATTTCAATTTAAAGTTTGAATTCCCATGCATAAGCGTGATTAGTTTGTAATTTCTTTCAACTTCTGTTTTACTTTGCACCATATATTAGAAACTAAATCAGGTCAAATCGCTCTCTTACAAAATCTTGTTTGCTTAATAATGGTCTTTTGGAGAAGGGTTCATGGCATATTTCATCATGATAAACTAGGAAAGTCAGCAGGAGAATAGTGTCATTTGAATAAGTCAAAGTCTCTCAGCTGAACTTCAACATATTGGCTACCTGGTGGGCGCTGCCTTGCACTTGGCAGAACAGATTGGTCACTGGATGGTCTTGGCTGATGTTAACTGCCATTGCTGCCAGCTACTGCTCTCTAGAGGTGGCCATCAGATGTCTGCTTGGAATTGAAATTGTAAAAAGATGTGTTTTGAAGACTGGTGCTCGTTAGAAATTGCTGAAAGACAAATTTTTGAAGCACAAGATTGAAGTCACAGTAGGGACATGGATAGTAGAAGCTTTTCAGCTAAGTTGGAAACTATTTTGACTTTGAAAAACATTTTGTAGCTTGATCTCAAAGCCTTTCCAGTAAATGGCAACAATCAATCATTCAAGATAGAATAAGCCTTTACACATAAATGGTAAACTCAAAGGCTACCTAACAAACTCTTTCCAATTTCAGGAAGTCTAGCTGCACTTGATCTTCGCAGTTAACAGTAACTTTTGTTTAGTTTTAAGAAAAATTCCCTATGTTGAACCATCCACCTCATCAATTTGGAGAGTTTCAAACTCTCTCTACAACCTCATCTGTTAAGGTTAAGTGCCTCTTTTCATTGGTCTCTACACGTTGCGGACCTCTCTAGCATGAGCGTTCAAAGTATTGGAACAGCTTTCTTCCTCAGCTATTCCACCCAAAATGATTGTGCTATAGTTGCAGTAATAAGATGTTCTTTGGTTCTTGTGCCTTTCTTTTGTTTTTAATTTGTCTCACAACCTAGCTGTCTTAGATAACCCCCTATTGATCCATGGTTACAGAAATTTGTTGTTCTCTATGTCACTTATTCTTGTTGGCATTTCATCTTTTTAGGCCATCACAAGAACTCTGGTGCTTTAACTTGGTCTAGAAAAGAAAGTCAATGGACTTCTAGAGTTGAAATCTTGAGGTTAAGCATCGATGGGATTGGAAGTCTCATTTAGTCCTCCCATTTCTATTGGAGATTAACATGGTTTTCTTCTTTAGTGCTACAACTCGTACTCTTTTCTTTTGGATATTGTTTGCTTTACCCCACTGGGTCACACAGTTTTGTTTTTTTATAAAAATTTGACTACAAAATAAGGATTTCCTAGACGGTCACTGATTGTAATATGACTCTCATACGAGTACATTTAACTTTGGAGTTCTTATTGAATCCAATTCTGTTTCTATCCAGAGGCACTCATGTGAGAGAGTATAAAATCTATACATTCGTAGGTTACTTTATCCCCTTTCGGATGTGAGATGGCTTTATTGTCACGAGGGCAACTATCTCGAGCATTTCCTTTCCGCTAGACACAGCTTTTCCACATGCTAGCATATCAACCTCTTCCTTTCTACCTACAGCTGGGTTCTCATATGCCTACCACGTTTGCTTGTTTCATCCCCAAATTACCCTCACTCTAATACCAAGGTCGCGACTTTGACATCATTTGTAATAGATTGCACTTTTCTTTCGTGAGGTATTGTTTGCTCCAACTAGTTAAACCTCGTGATTCTATCCTTGATGGAAATTTGGCTACAAATTTAGGGCTTCAAGGGTTGTCCATCCTAGTACTACTGCTATTTGAGCATGCTTAACTTCAAAAGATGTCCCATATGGGAGAATACAATATCTTTCCATTTATATCCCTGTAACTTCCTCCCCTTTTTGAATGTAGGATGGGTTCATTTCTACCATGGGTGTGGCTTCATCTTAGGCATTTCTTTTTCACTTTAATAGCCCTTTCCATTCGCTCGCATCTCATACCATTCTTTCCATCTGCAGACTGTGGTGTTACATTTAGCCATCTGAACCTCATATTTCTCGCCTGATCGAAGATTTCCTTGTCTACCAAGCATGTGTAATTATTTGGCGCATATAATTATGTCCCCTCTAATGTAAAAAAATTAGGCTAGATTTTTGTTAGTGACTGAAAAGAAATTGGAGCTTCATGGACTGTTTACAAAAGCAGTCAGATCTAAAATACTTTCTAGATCAATTGGTTCTAAATTTTCAGTATCAAAATGCTTAATCTAATTTCTGAAGCTTTCTTTCTTTCTTTCTTTTACTAGCTACTAATATTAGGCTAGTAGTAAGATGGTGTTTGCAAATACATGTAAAAAGTCAAATGTTGGAAATCAGAATAGAAATAGATTATAATTAGAAGTTGGGTGTTTTTACAAATTATGTTATACAATTCTTGAAAATAATAAAATTGACATTTGAAATGCAGTTTTTGCAATTTAATTTAGGAGAAGAAGCAATTTTGAAAAAGTTTAAAAAATTGGAAAAAAATCCCATGGAATAATTTTGGATTAAAAATTTAAAAAAAGTTTAAATCTTCTTCTACTTAATTAAATAATACTATCCACGAGTAGAAATACTTCTCCTCGTACTTTTAGAATTTAATTCTAGTTCTACTTTTTTTTACTAAAATGAAAAGAAATGGAATTTAAAAATAAGTTCTAAAATATTAGAATCTAATTCCAATTCTACTTTTTATTACTTGAATGAAAAGAAATAAAATTTAAAAGTAAGTTTTAAAATACTATAAAATGATTGTGTATATTGGAAAACTTAAAAGCTTTCAGAAACTCTTGCAAACGCCCCTTCAAGTCTCTTTTTCCTTCAGCTACTAACGCACTGTCCAATAGATTTTATGCCAAATTCTTTAAAATGTTTAATCCTTCATAGATCACTACGTTGTAACATATTAGATGTTGATTTCCTTAGTCTTACCACTGCAAAAGAAGTGGCCACAACTACGCGTGTTTAAGTGGCACCGCAGCATAATTATGAACTCCTGGGCTCAAAGCAGCTGATTGCTCCTCCTATGCCTTGTTCAGTAGCTGCATCCCCTGTTGGCTATCTGGCCTCGAATTGCTTGTGATCAGGTTTAAGCCCAGCCGTAGCACAAGCAATCGTCAAATGTTGCAGGAGAAAGAGCTGCCTTGCTTGGATTTGGAATTGCTGTTGTTGCTCTTCTTTTGGTTACCATTACCTTTCCTTCTACAATTTTGAAGATTGCCTCGAGAAGAGCAAAGCCAAATTTTCCTTTTCTACCAAATGTTCCTTTCTTCTCTCTCTCTCTCTTTCTTTCTTTACTTGAGCTTTTTTGTATTAATATTAATATATCTTTTTATTTACTAAAATATGGTTTTTTTGAGATGATTTTGAGAGCATTAGAAAGTCAGTTCCCAACATTTTTTTGGATTTATTTTTATTTTTAAATGAAACATAAGTCAATCAGAATTGATTTTCGAACAGAAGTCAATTTTTGGTTCACCCATCTAAAAGTAGTCGATCAAGCCAATTTCAAGAGTTCTAGTTCAAATAAAAATTGAATTTAATTGGATTAATTCAGTTTCAATACAACCAACTTCTCAAAAGGGAAAAAAATTTAAAATATAATTTATAGATTAAGTTCAAACTTAAAAATTAAAACAAACAAATAGATATCGAGAAGTCAGTTCTAGTAAAATTGACTTCTCAAATGAAAAAAAATACAATTTTTAAAATTATTTTGAGAAGTCGAGTCTGCTATAATTGATATTTGAAAAAGAAAAAATAAATGCAATAATAAATAAAATTGTTAAAGAAGAACCATATGAACTGTAATAGTGTGAATGAGTTAGTGCATATATACTATCATCTAAATCCATATTTATAATACTAGAGATATACAAACAAGAAAAAGAATAAATGAAAATAAATGAGAATATTCTTAGTAATATATTCCTATCGTATATTCTTAATGTATTCATATATATATATATATATATATATTTACATTTTCTTTCAAGTTGGAGCACATAAGTCATAAGCACCCAGCTTATCACATATATATGTAATTCGAGATCCCATGTGTGATTTAGTGAATATATCTGCTAACTGATCATTGATTGACAAAGTTAATAGCAATCCATCCAAACTAGACCTTTTCTCTAATGAACTGATAGTCCACTCCTATGTAATTGGCCTTTCATGAAATACCAAATTAGAGACAATGTACAAGGTAGCTTGATTATCACAGATCGATTACATTTGCTCAATATCTCTAAATTTCAATCCTTGGAGTAATTGTTTGAGTCATATATTTACATGTTGCTAATGCTATGACACGATATTATACTTCTACACTTGACTTAGTAACTACATGGTGTTTCTTACTTTTTCAAGAAATCAAGTTGCCTCTAAACAATATGTAATAGCTTGAGGTTGGTTGCCTATCGAAGGGTGATCCAGCCCAGTCTGCGCTTGAGTAGCCAATAATCTGAGAATGACCTTTATCTTGATAGAGAAGTTCTTGGCTTAGTGCCTATTTGATGTATCTAAGTATTTGGATTATAACATCCTAATGACCATCACATGGAGATTGTAGAAACTGACTAACTATACTTATAACAAAAGAAATGCCTAGCAAGTGATAGTAAGGTAGTTCAATTTCAACAAGTCTCTGATATTGTCTAGGATCTCATAAAGGCTCATTTTATGTTGGTAGGAGTTTGATGTTTGGATCTATAGAATTGTCTACAAGTCAACAATTTACCAAGCTAGTCTCTTCTAAGATATTAAAAGCATACTTTTATTGAGAAATAATAATACCAGTTGAGGATTGAGCTATCTTAATACAAAGAAAATATTTACGTCGACCCAAATCCTTGGTCTAAAAATGACACAAGAAATATTGTTTTAATTGACTAATACATTCTTTATCATCTCTTGCGATAATGATATCATCTGCATACACCACAAGATAAATGCTTTGATGGTGTGAAAAATGGCAATAAAAAACAGAATGATCTGCTCCACTGCGAATCATGCCAAATTGTTGAACTACTTAATTGAAATGCCCAATCCATGCTCGTTGGAGATTGTTTTATGCCATGAATTGATCTGCATAAGCGACATATTAAGCCAAACTTCCCCTAAGTAACAAATCTAGAAGGTTGGTTCATATAGACTTCTTCCGCAAGCTCATCATATAAGAAAGCATTCTTGATATCAAGTTGGAAAAAAGGCTAATGACGCATTACAGTCATGGAGAGGAGAAGATGAACAGAGGCAATGTTGGCAAGAGGAGAGAATGTATTGCCATAATTCTAGTCATAAATTTGATTATAACCTTTTACTACTAGGTGTGCTTCAAGAGATCAATCTTCCTATCAAGTC